AAGGTCAAACAGTTGTCCATTGAATGCCCAGGTGCATCCGAGTGGTAGCTACATTTTTCGTTGGGCTTGTACCACTCGGGGTAGGGAGGCTCCATTTTCTTTGGAGGAACGCGGGCTAGAAGGTTGGCCTGTAATAACTGGGGCAGCAACTTTGCGTACGAGGTGGGGATAGGGGTGAACTTCCTCTCCTTTCTTCGTGACTGCCTCTCTGTCTGAGGAGTGGAGGAAGGGGTTGCAAAATTGATGGCGTGTACGGCCTCTTCCTTCTTTTTGAAGGGTTTCTTGAATGAAGTACTGGAAGAAGAAGGTCGTGCTATTTTCCCGCTCCTCAACCCCTGCTCCACTCTTTCTCCTACAGTGACTATGTCTAAAAAAAGATTGGAGGTACTAGTTATTGCCTTGTCGTAGTACGCTCCAGTAAGTGAATCTATGAACATAGCTACTGTCTCCTTATCAATTAGTGGAGGCTCTATTTGGGCGGCCATTTCCCTCCACCTTTGGGCGTACGCTTTGAAGGATTCGTCGTCCGTTTTGCTCAGGGTCCTGAGATCTGACCTATCAGGGGTCAGATCGATATTGTATCGGTAACGACGAAGGAAAGCGTCGGCCAGTTGTTTCCAGTTTTGAACCTGCCCTCTTTCTAACTGCATGTACCAGTTGAGAGTCGTGTCGGCTAGACTCTCCTGGAAACAGTGTATCAGGAGTTTTTCATTTTTAGCGTGTGCGGCCATCTTACGACAATACATCGTAAGATGGTTCTTGGGGTAGGTTAACCCGGCGTATTTGGGGAAGTCCGGGACTTTGAACTTGGGAGGGAAATGGATGTTCTTTACCAGGCACATATCCGCCACCTCCTTGACGTCGAAATTGTGCCCCTCCACCGCCTTCAGCCTTTCTTCTAAGGCGGATATCTACTGCTTAGAAACCTCTGGGGTGAGGATGCGTACAGTCTTAGCATCCTTTTCATCATAGAAGTGTTCCTCTTCTTCCTCTTCTTCATGGCGAGAGGCATTTTCTGCGTGGGCTTCCCCCTTATTTTGCCCTTGGCGTATGACCTCCATTAATTGAGCCATCTGCTCACGGAGGGTGTTAACCTCTGTAGTGAGCTTACGGTTTTGCTCCTCTAGGTTCTCCATTGCTCTGGCCTTTTGTGCACGAGTTCGGATGGGGAGAGGACCAACCACTTTCTAGAATGCCCGAAAGAAAATTATTAATGCATGTTGAGTGTTGGACTAACATGGATATGTATGAGAGATTCTGTTTTAGATGATGCTAAATGTGCTCTCACTTTTTATTTTCTCTCTTGGTTTTTCTTTACTCACGATATGATGTAATATGAATGATTTGACTTTGTCAAAGGTTGATTTATTTTCTAGTTTTAACCCCTTTTTTTTCATTCTCATTTTATGGCCTTTTATCTCTTCTGTCGGATTGCGTGGCTACTTAGCTTACAAAGAATCTGAAACTAGGCTAGCTAAAAGGCAGACTGTCTGAGATAAAAAATGGCTTTATGTGAAAGAATAGTTAGTGTCCCTTATCTCTTCTGTCGGACTGTGTGACTACTTAGCTTACAAAGAACCTAAAACCAGGCTAGCTAAAAGGCAGACTGTCCGAGATAAGGGCATTTATTGCAAAAAATGTTTTTTGTGATTTTTTTGTTGTTTGGTTATGCTATGCAATCAAATGCAACAAACAGGTGCACACACAATTCGATCATCCACGAACAGACGAGAAGTCGTTTTAATCACGAGGTAGGGTTTTCCTGCAGAAAAGTGCATTGGCGAAGGTAGGTTCTAACTGTTCTCACCAAGGCTAAGGCCCCCAAGGTGCCCCCATTATAGGGTCCCCACTCTCCAGCCTTCCGACCATGCTTAGCACTAAGGCCATAGTCAGTCTTTGTGCCGAAAGAGGAAGTGTAGACCCCTAATTTTGTCCGGCCTCTCAATAAAGGCAAAGGAGACTTCCTATAACAAGATAAAGCTTGCCCGACATCTCAATATAGGCCAAGAAGACTTCCTATATGAAGATAAAGCTTCAATGGACGTTTATCGGCATCAATCGACGTCCAAATCAAGAAAGGAAAGCTTCCCGGGGTCCCAGCACACAAAATCTGGCAAAAACAGTCGAGATGGTCGTCTCAGAAGTTGGGACGGCCGTCCCAATTGATTTGGAGGCTTGAGACGGTCGTCCCAAATCCCAGACGGCCGTCCCAACTTCCCCAGAAGGTCGTCCCTGTTTTCCAAGCTCCAGATGGCCGTCCCAAGCTGCCAGGCCGCGAAAACTATAAATAGGAGGCTCATTTGCCACTTTTTCAGACCCCAGACAACTCCAAGTACTTGTCTTCTCTCCCTACTTCGAATGAACTCTCCGATTGCCTTAAAAAGGTAACAATCGGTTAAGGAATTGTATTCCAGCATTCGATTCTTCTTTAAAATTTAGTCGAGTTGATACTGTATTCTGGGAGGAGAGTCTTTGTAAAGCGGAGGATTGCCAAAACGCATCCTCACTGTTAAAGATTTGCAATACAAAGCTTGCTACGGAGGTTCTTTTCAAATTCTCTTCTCTTTTATTGTTTTATTTATTGCTTTCTGTATGCAATGTAAACTAAAGTCATGTAGATAGCTATTTTTAAATATTGTATAAATAAAATAGGATAATAGTGTAATTTCTCGTAATCTTCACTTAATGAATGAATCCGTCATAGGGAACCCGAGAGGGGCGTTGTGGGGTGCTAACACCTTCCCCACACGTAACTAACTCCGTTACCTAACTCTGGTTATAATGACCAAGTTTGGTTTTTATTAAAATCAACGCCTTTTTATCCTTTTCCAATGTTTACGGTCAAAACATTGGTGGCGACTCCAAAAGAACCCCTTTTCGAAAACCTTGCTTTTATTAGAGGATAGTTCAGTTGTTGAGCACCTCGAAAGCAATGAACACATTTAAAAATAAAAACGCGAGTCTAAACCATCTTTTCGCGACCGCTCGCATAAACGTTTGAGATGTCCCTAGACGTCGGAACGGACGGCGGCAACAGGAAGGTTATCACCTTGAGTGGTGGTTTCCGATCACATCGGTGGGCACAAGGCCATCACTACAGCGAACCGTACCTGCCACCCACTCCCTATGGATTTCTCACTTGCCCCCGGGTATAGAGGGAACTGTAGTGTGCAAGGGTTTGTGTACAGTTTGTATTTCAAACAATTGCGTAAGTATAAACAGACAACATTTATTAAAGTCAAGCATTAAAACATGTTATAATACAAGGTAGGGTAAAAGTGTAATTTTCTTGGTTTATTTATTTTAAGTTGGCCCATCACTAAATGGGATCAACTCTCTAGGCTTCCCCAGCAGAGTCGCCATCTGTCGCCGCCGTCAAAACGAGGCGGTCGGAGCGACGCGATGGTTCTGACTTTCCAATTTTCGCGTTTTTATTGGTGTGGTTACAACGCCTTTAGGTTATTCGATAACCGGGCTGAACCTAGGAGCGAAGTTTTCGAAAAGGCGCTCTTGGATTGTCCGATAACCGGGCTAACCCAAGAACTAATTTTGAAGGGTTCTTCTGGAGTCGCCGCCGATGTTTTTACCGAAAACATCGAAAAAGGAGTAAAAAGGCGTTGGTTTTCGAAAAACCAACTTTGGTCATTAGAACCAAAGTTGGGTAAAGGAGTTAGTTACGTGTAAGGGAAGTGTTAGTTCCCTTACGACGCCCCTTTCGGGTTCCCTATGATAGGCCAGCTATTTTAAATAAGTAAACCGGTGAAAATATGTTTTTACCCTTTTATTTGCGAAATTTAAAGTTATGACTACATGACCCTAATATCTACTGCGTAATTTAAAGATAAAGCAGTAAAGAGAGAGAAAGAATGTAGAAACCTCCGAGGCAAGCTTTCTATTAATTTCTTGATAATTTGGGTGCTTTTTGGTAGCCCTTCACTCTTTACAGTGCCAGAATCTCTCGAAAACGCTATAAAAAACTCTAAAAAGCTCTCAGAAACTCCGAAAATGCTTCAGAGGGATTCTAGAAAGAGAATTTGAGGAAGTGACTAGAGAGAGAATGGAAGAACTGTGTGAAATGAGGGGAATGACGCAACTATTTATAGGGATTCGCGCTTGTTAGGTCGAGACGGCCGTCTCGCCATTCGCAAGTGACAAGATGGTCGTCTCGCCAAACGAGACGACGGTCTAGCCACTTTCGCAAGGCAAGACGGCGGTCCCGAATACGAGACGGCGGTCTCGACCCTAGAAGGCGAAAATCCTTATTTACATGCAGAAAGTTCCTCCTATTCTAACATGGGGCCTAATAGTCTCTCCTAATGGCTTCTTAGGCTTCATCCATCTTAAAAAAAGGAGGTCTTCTGATCTTTATTATGAGGCCGGACAAGATTTGGGGTCACATTTCCTAATGATTTTCTTCACTGTTATTTTACTTCAATTTTCTTTTTCAATTTAGTTCTTTACTTGCAAATTTGAGTTTACAATGTTTCTTTAAGTGTTTACAACTTTGTAAATATAAATTTAATGCAATTATTGACCGTTTTCTTTTATAGCTTTTGATATATTAGTTTTACATGCTTTCATCTACTTTTAATGTATTTACAATTTTCCTACATTGCTTTCTTAATTTAGATTAATGTGTTCATTTTCTTGCTTTCATTTGTTATTTTTAGTATAGTAGTTTACTGTTTTCATTTAGTTTCATAGATTACTACTTTTGATTTACTTTACTTGCACTAAAATCTTAAAAATCCCCTTATTCCAAGTATTTGGTATTTGAAAATCAAGATTTAAATAAGATTGAACAATTTTCCATGAGAACACAACATAGGTCGATCCTAGAACTGCATTCTGTTTATTGCAAATTCTTTGATGATGATATATACAAGTACACATATACATCTTGCTTTATTTAAATATGATATTTGATTTGTATGTCCTTTGACATGTCATTTTCAATATTATTCTAAAGAAGATAAAAGTATATAAAATGAGAAAATCAATTAACAAGGTTTACCCACTCTACACCTAAGGCTGCCAGCATAGCGTGTAAGCCTTCCCACGTAAGTTCCTGGCTTGGCTGTGATCATGTCATACCTTGAGAATGGTCTGTTAACAAGCTCAGGCCCAGATTCCACGAAATATGCTCCATTCATGTACTCATCATTGATTGATCTCCACTGCCATGCTGACCAAACGTTCTCTGGAGAGTATTCTCTCTTTGTGATCTTCATGAACACCAAAATGTAACAAATTAGATGTTAACATCAAGTCAGGTGAATACATGACAGCGTAATTTCTTTTCATGTTTGTTGGTTCTCATTATGGTACTTAATTGATGTTTATATTCATAAGAAGGTTGTGATAATATAACATAGGTTTTCTTAAGCGGAATTATGATCATGATATATATCAAGAACATTAGATCATATATATTTGAATGATTAAGTAGTCATATGATAACTAAGTAATTGTTTATTTTGATTATATGTGTTGGGTTATATGATGTAGATTATGATTCTTATTTTTTTGGATAAAAGGATTTTTCACTTCATCTATGTATTTTGTATTTGCATGATATAGATTTGTTATGATGATGATGACAAGAGTGTGTAAGAAGAGTTAATCTTGAGGGTACAAGGAAAACAGGTGGTGAAGATTAAATATAAAAAAAAAATGTTGATATAAATTATTGAGATTAGCTTTTGTATTTCATACTATTACTAGCAAGCTTTGACATGAAGTCAATTTTTTATTCTAAAGGAATATATCAAGATGCATACCTGTTTAGCATGTATGTTATCAGGAGCAATAAATCGATTACCCTCGCTTATGATGGTGGGATGCTTGCTGCCACCAATCGCATACATTTCCCAGTGAGTGTAATCGTTATTAACCACATGGATGAAACCATGTCTGCATCTAGGCATCCTTTGAATTAATCTCTTGCCAAAGTGGTTGAATGCAAGAGTGACTTGCATGATCTTATCATCATCGTAGCTGTCACTAGCACCAAAGAGCATCACCTGCACCATTCACACACGTACACACTACTCAAACCTAACACCAAGACAAGATGAAAGGTGTTTCTTCATTCTACACCTTTCCCTATATAAAAATTAAGACATATATATAGTCATTTCTAATCTCTACATGACCCATAATCAAGTTCTATTAATTTTTTATATATTGATGAAAGATTGGTTAGAATCTTACCATTATAAAAGAAAGTATTACACGATCTGAGGTGTCATAGTTTTAATCAATTTTTATGTGACATATAATTGAGTTTGACTAACTCATAAAAACACTTGATTATGTATCGTGTGGATATTGATGGAGACAATAGTCATAATCATCTGGGATCATCTAATGATTTATGAGAGAAATCAAATAAATTACCTCGTTATGGTCTGTGAAATGGCTGTTGGAAATGGTAATGGCAGTGGATCCCATGATGACATCAATAAGTCCATCATAGCAGTTTCTCATGGAAACATGATCAATCCAAACATTGCTAGAACCAAAGATGGAAATGCCATCTCCATCACTCTGAGTCCTAAACCCATAATGTGTCTCAGAATCCCTGATCATTCCACCCCCATGAACCTGAATGCCGTAGATCTTAATTCCATGGATGATGACGTTCTTGATAAACTGGATGGTGATGCCAGCACCACCACCGGCAATGTAGACCTCAACGCCTCTTCCATCAATGGTCTTGTCACCGGTCATGATGAGCTCCTGCTTAAGCGTGATGAACATGCTGCGAGCAAAGATGATCCACAATGAACCATTACGTGTAACTGCATGGCGAAGAGTTCCTGGCTTTAGGTCCACCATGTTGTCATCTGAAGGGTCTGTGACCACATAGAATGGACCACCCTTTCCTCCAATAGTGTTTCTCCCAAAGCCCTGAACGCAATCTGCAAGCTTCTGCCTGTTGTCGGCCCAGTTGGGGTCACACCTCCAACATCTGTCAATGGGGTTCGTGGCCATGCATGGACCTTTATCACGTTGTCCCCTCAAGTTTCTTCGTAAAGTCTTTGCAACCAAAAGTCTGCTTTGTCAAAATCAAAAACACTATCTATCATCTTTATCCCATCACAAATGTAACCTAGGGAGCTGAGAAAATATTAGAGATGTGTGTCCAAACACACCTATAAAGAAAGAAAAAGAATTGTGATAACTATTATCTAAATTATGAAGAATTTCATTTACCCTTTTTCCATGCCAAGATTGTTTGGTATCACCTGTACATAAACATGCATGCTAAGAAAGGAAATAGAAGGTGTTAAGGTACGAGGAGGCTCACTCGCTGACACTGGAAGTTAAGTTTCCAGAGACTGAATATGGATCAGGAAAATAGGCTGCTTGATTGTTCACTTTAGCTATTTCTGACTTATCCTTCCAATATGCATCAAATTCGTTCTCATGATTCTTCCAATATTCATCACTCTCCAAGGTATTGCCATTAAGAGTTGGGAAGATTGCCAAAGAAAGCAAAACTATAAATATCACCATTTTTGTTTATTTGTTTTTTGAATATATCACTGATGATGATGGCCAAGGTTTGGACTCCAATTGAAGCTAACCTCGGCCAGCACCAAAAAGAAAAAAGAAAAAAGAAGAAGAAAGAACCCTTATTGAGAAATGAATAAAAACATGTATGAGGAGGTTCTTTTCGATGAATATGAATGGAATGGAATGGAAAACAGGTATTTATAAGGATAACAACATTGAAAAAATGCAATTCAAAATGTAAATTTGGGTTCTGTTAGAGATATTCAAGGTTGAAAAAGCATATTGTCTGGTCAATGAACAAGTTTTGAGATGCGACATCCATTCTTCCTTTGACTCTAAAATTGGCATAGAAAATGGTTGCTCCTCATGGTCAGATGGAATTCCAAACCAATATTTAAAACATTGATCATTTCATGCCATACATTTTATATTTAACGTATATATATCACTAAATTATAATTATTTGAATTATAAAATAAAATGGTTGGAATGTCATTAGCAAACTATTTGTAATTGTAGTTTTTTTAAAATAGTTTAATTCGTGCATACACACGGCTCACGTTTATTGTATTCTTTGAATTTTATTTATAATTTAATTACTTTTAAAATAGATAAAAAGACATGAGACCACAAGAACAGTTTTAAGTATTAAAATTAAATTTATCATTAAAGATAAATTATACTATTATATTTTTTTAGAATATTTAAAACCAAAAAAGATAGAATCATCAACTTACAAATATATAAATTAATTACAAGTAATTAAAAAGTTATATGTTTTCAATCATAATCTAAATATAAGTAGTAATAGAATATATATATATATATATATATATATATATATATATAACTCTAGTCTATAATTATAATTGATTGTTAAAAACTTATCTAAGATGGATTAGAAGCTTTTAAAATATTAATGTAGTAGTTTAATCTTACTTTTTATCTTTTACTAATAGAAATCAATGTATCCCAAAATACAAATTGATACAACACCACCAAAAGATCATTTTCCTTGAAAAATGTTTCAATACATCTTACGACAATACAAACTACAGTAAACAGCAAACAAAAATTATGTAATAGTAAAAAATAAGCTGAAACAAAAGATATATAACAGACAAAAATATTAATATTTTTCATTCTAATTTACAAAATGAGGAAATCATGTATTATAAAACAACAATGTAAATGATATAAGTTTTTAATAAGGTATTTAACGCATAAAAGTATTTCCTTTCATATTTAATTTTATGATAAAAAAATACAATATTCTGTTATTAAAATTTATGTTTATTATGTAGGACAATGTAAAACATTAGACAAGGACAGAAAATAGTTTAGTTTGAGTAAATATTCTGTAATTTAAGAATTTAAAAATAAAATAAATAAAATGATAAGTTATAATGAAATATTCATCTTATTCATTTATATAATAACACTACCTTTCTTTTTTGCAAAGAATTGTGTAGCATATGTGGCAGTTTTTATGCATTATTGTGAATGCTAAATATTTAAATATTATACACTGTGTATAAACGTAGTAATATGAAGGCTTTCTAATATCAGAATAGTCAGCATTGGGCTGGAATGAACCTGCAACCTTCTCTATATATAGTATTGCTTCTATGCTGCATATATATACACTCAGCAATAGTTACACATTTCAACTCAGTTTCAATTGTGCCTTGTCATGCAAACATATATTCTCCTTCAACAACTGTCCCGGCAACATCCTGAAATGATAAACGTACGTCACTATTATTATTTGTTATGATCACGATGATTTTACAACACTATTACAAATCAAGTAATCTTTCAAAATATACTCTATAGTTAAAATTTTTCATTGAAAATTGACTAAATAAGATACTTTGCCGAGATAATTTGTTACCGACTTGTACTCTCTCATTTATTATTCATCTTTATGTTAAATATTATTTTTGTTTAAAATGACTTAAACTCGAACGATTTTTGGCAACGGGCGGTGCGGAGGTGTTTTGCCTCCCCATCCCTGCCCCCGACTTTTTTAACTATCACTACAAGAAAAAACACATTTAGCCACCGAAATTAGCGATCGAATTTTTTCGGTCGCAATTAGTGACCGATTTAATTTTGGTTGCAATTAGACACCGATTTAGCGACCACTTTAATTCCGTCGCAATTAGCGACCGATTTAGCGACCACTTTAATTCGGTCACAATTAGCGACCGATTTAGCGACCAAAATATGATTTGGTTTTCACTTTTTTATTTAGCGACCGAAATAGCGACCAATATTTTGTGTCGCAAAATTTCGGTCGCTAAATCGGAGGCTATTTCATACATAAATAAAAAAATCATTTAGCGACTAATTTAGAGACCGAATTACAAATTGAAATAGTGACCGAATTAAAATCGGTCGCTAATGACAAAATAATCGATGATTTTATCTGATTTTTGCAATATCGCTCAAGCGAAAATAACATCGCTCGAGCGACGCCACCTGCACAAAATTGACATTCTCGGGTTGTATTTCGCTTAAGCGACACTATTCTCGCTCGAGCGACATCCGATTCAAACATGAGGTCACCCATGTTACATTATCCGGCTAACTTTTATCGACGTTTACGCAGGTCAACATTCGCTCAAGCGAAAGTAACATCGCTCGAGCGACGCCACCTGCACAAAATTGGCATTCTTAGGTTGTATTTCGCTTGAGCGACACTGATCTCGCTCGAGCGATATCTGATGCAAAAATGTGTCAATAAATAAATATAATATTTGTCACTTTTAAGAGCGGTTAATATTTACACCGCTCTTAAAAGTGAACATATAATAGCCGTTCCAAGTGAACCGCTATCATATACAACCACATTTTTTTATTCTGATCGATTAGATTTTCAAATGATCGATCATATTTGATAATTTTTTCAAATAATTAATTATAATCAATTAGTTTTCTAAATTATTGATTAGAATTGATTAGTTTTTCAAATAATAGATTATAATTGATTAATTTCGAAATATATATTAAAAAATTATAATTAAAAATATAAATTATTTAAGAATATTAACTATTGTAAAGATAAAGTAGAACATGGGAGGAGATGAGGATGATAATATAATGATAAAACTTACAAAAATGTAGAATTGAGAAGTTTAAAACAAAAAAAATTAAGAAAATAGAGATTTAATTACACTCGTTAATAAATTTAAGATAATACTAGTTTTGATTTTTATTTTTAAATATTTATTTTAATTTTTTAAAACAGAGAAACATTAATTTTAGTTTCTAAATACTCAATTTAAAGAATTAAATTTATTATTATTTAATCTTTTAATTTTAGTATTAAAAATTTAAATTATATTTTATTAAATTAAAATAATTACAATATATTTTTCTACTTTGAGAATGAACAATATAATTAAACTCAAAATTGACAATATTATAATACATTTTTGAACTCTTTTGGATTAATTTTTTTTCCTAATTTTTGATAAAGTTAATTTTAATATTTAAAAGTATTTAACATTTTGAATTCTGAAAGGTTTTCTCTAATAGCAAATTTAAAAACATAATATTCAAAAAAATAGTTAATGTAAGTTTTCATTATGATCGATTATATTTTGAAATGATCGATCATAATTGGAACGATATAATAGCGGTTCCACGTTAACCGCTATCTAAAATATATTTTAGATAGCGGTTAAGGTTTAACCGCTATTAGAAGTGCGCTTTTAAGAGCGGGTTCCAGTGGAACCGCTATCATATACAACCACATTTTTTGATTCTGATCGATTAGATTTTCAAATGATCGATCATATTTGATAATTTTTTCGGGTTGTATTTCGCTTGAGCGACGCCACCTGCACAAAATTGGCATTCTCGGGTTGTATTTCGCTTGAGCGACACTGGTCTCGCTCGAGCGACGCCACCTGCACAAAATTGGCATTCTCAGGTTGTATTTCGCTTGAGTGACACTGGTCTTGCTCGAGCGATATCTGATGAAAAAATGTATCAATAAATAAATAAAATATAGTTAGATAGCGGTTAAGGTTTAACCGCTATTAGATGTTCACTTTTAAGAGCGGTTCAAGTGGAACCGCTATCATATACAACCACATTATTTGATTATGATCGATTACATTTTCAAATGATCGATCATATTTGAAAATATATAATAGCGGTTAAGGTTTAACCGCTATTAGATGTTAACTTTAAGAGTGGTTCCAGTGGAACCGCTATCATATACAACCACATTTTTCATTTTCGTATACATCCCAGTCGCGCCACTTATCCCCAAATAACCCTAACTCTCGCGCCTCACTCACCCATTCCTCTTAACCTTACAAATCCCACGACCAGTATCTCCTCCTTGTTAGAATCGCGTAGCAAAATGTTCATGTGGTCGGACAAAAACCAAGAGGGGGGGTGAATTGGTTACTTAATAAAAATTAGGTTTTCAAAATTTTCCCCAAATTTTACCGATTAAA